GAAGTTAGACCTGGCAAAACGGGTATAGACCCGCGGGTCGACCCCATACCCAGGTAAAAAATATAGGGTATGGGTCTAATGTATTGAACCCGTTTTTCTGGACCCGTCCCGTCTCGGTCCGTATATTTAACGGGTTATACGGGTCAACCCGCGGGTGCCCGCGGTACCCGTTTAAAAAAAAAAAATGAAATCCCTAAATTTTAGATCTGTTCGACAGTTCAAGTCTCTAACTCTCATCCCATCGTCGCCATCTCTGATCTCCTCTCTCTCAAGTTTCACCGTCGCAAGTCGCAACTCACCATCTCCTTAGTCCCCTCTCTCACTGTCACCATCTCCTCGGTCGGTATTGGTACGAAACCTTCACAGTTCATTTCCTTCTTTCCAGTTCCTTAGGGTTTCAAAATTAGACTCAAAATGCTTCATCTCTACTGCAATCTCCATCGTCCATCTCCTCCTCGCTCCTTCCTCTCCAAAAAAAAAATTTTCCCTACTCCCTCCCCATCGAGTACGCAATCTTCCTCTCTTCATTTTAACTTTTTAAATCTTTCTAGTGTTTCATTTAACGATTTTTGTTTTTTATTATTTAACAGCCGAGAGAAGTTCAATTTAAAAGAGGTTTTGTAAAGATTACAAGATTTCGATAGCGTAAACAGCAAGAAGAGTGAAAGGAGTAGTGGAGAGTTTCGAGCGGTGAGAAATGGGTCCATGAAGGGTTCATTACAGAGTCACTAGTCACTACCCAATGGTATGTTTCGATTTCGTTTAGATAATGAAGACTTGATTCTTGGTTATATTTCGGGAAAGATTAGGCAGAATTTTGTTCGTGTATTACCTGGAGTCTGGAGATAGAGTCAAGTTGAAGTAACCATTATGATACAAGCAAGGGTCGAATAATTTATAGAATTCGCGACCGAGTTCCAACGGTTAAGTTGTTGATTAATCTTGATTGTATTTTTGTATTTAAAATTATGTTATGAAAATTCATAAATTGATATTTATGTGTGCGTGATGCAGGTTGCTGGGTAGATTATCATATTTCTGATATAAAGGTAACACTGGTACAGGTTATAACATGAAATGGTTTTCATTCAGTAAAGTTGATGGTTCTTTTCTTCATTATTTTTATTTATTTATATTTGGGTAGAGGAACTTAGTGACATTAGTATATATGAAGTTAATTTGTAATATGAATGAGGAAATGTAGTTTGCAACCTGGACGCAATGATTTCAAGTAATGGATTGTTAAATATGTTATTGACCATAAACTCCTTCACATGGTTATTCATAGCCAGAAGTCAAAATGAGAAATATTTGCAGCTCAATTTCAGATAAGGCATCTAAATTTCATTATAAGCTTGGTTGATTGTGTAATCTAAAGATTTTGTCCTGTTTTGTTGCAGGTGAATTTTTATGTTGTGGATGGCCGCTTATTATTGTAGTTTATTGAGAGGTGTTAATGTCACATGGTTGTGAGGTGTGATAGAAAGGATTATAGTAGTGTCTGTGATTTTATTTATACCTCTATATAGTTAATTTGATGAGGTATGTATACCTATTTTTATTATTATTGTGATGGTAATTTGTACTCATGACATGATTGAGAGTAAAGAGTTGAAGAATAAATCCTTATATTTGAATTAGCAAATTGAATCAGTAGGTCGTGGTGGCTCGGAAGATTGTGATGTTATTACTCCAACTGTGAATGGTAAGCTTAAAAGTAATTAAGGAGAGAAACAACCTTGATGTATGAGAGCTTAAGAATTTGTGGTTGCAAGCGAAGAAAGTGTGACACCTGTTCCTGTTTCTTCAATGTTTGTGTTCATGCGTGGTTTTTGCTTATGGGTTATGAATTTAATCCACTGCTAAATTCATAAACCCATGTTTATTTTGGTTCTTATTTGTTTATATTCTAAATTGAATTGAATTTAGAGTAGTTGATTTAGGGGGTGTAAATGTAAAAAATTAAAACTGTAGGAATTTTGGGGGTGTAACTGTCATAATTGAAAACTATTAGGGGTGAAACTGGAAAAACTAAAACCTAGAGAGAGAAAAAACGGGTACCCGCGGGTCCACCCGTACCCGCATAGGGCAGGGTACGGGTCCAATATTTTGGACCCGTATACTTCGACCCGTATTAGACCCGTACCCGTTTGGCCCGTACCCGCGAGACCCGACCCGTACCCAGCCCACCCACCCGTTTTGCCAGGTCTAGTTGAAGTGCATATAAACTGGTCCAAATATCTCTGGGTCATCAAAAAAGTTTCAGGATCCTAGAAACATATAAGTTGGTCTGAACACTCCCGATCAATAAACAAATTTTATGATCGTGAAAGATTATATAATTAAAGTGTGCATAAGTTAGTCCGGATACCCTCGAGAAAAAAACAAATTATGTTGAGGTTACACTTGTGGCTTATTTGCATTAGCAAATAAAAAAACATAGAATTGCATTGTGTAATCTATTGTCATTTTAACAATCGTTATTACACGTGTTATGACAAAAATCTATGACGATTAAAAGTAACTATAATTCAAAGGGTAATTGAATACCTCTTTTGAGGTCGCATAAATTTATAATGTCATTAAGATATTTATGAAGACGAATAACCACTCTGAATGTGTCAACTAACGGTCAAATATCCTGTGTCATGGCAGGAGAGTAATTTCATCGACCACATCACGTAAACTTCAAACTTTTTTGTAACTTGGTGACTAGTTAACCAATAGATTCGTTTCTAGAAAGATTAAAGACAATGAATTTACTATTTCAAACTTTAAAGAAAAAGACTAGAATATGACCAAGCTATAATCTGCTTTCGTACACTCAAATCTATATAATTTTTCAACATTAGTGATAACGATTTGATCAATAGTGACTCAAGTAAACGAAAATTAATATTAGTCGATTTATCTTTATGAATAGTTGTAATTAGTTGATCAATGAATAAGTTAAAGGACACATGTTAACACAATTAAAGAGTTAACAACTTTTTTTAACTTAAACAATGGTTTAATGACATTTTTTTACCTATAGATTTTTAAAATACTATTTTATTACCCAAATTTATATTGCAGCAGTGAACAAAGAGCAAACTCATTCCAAACTATTGAGACTTTTGAATAAGGGAGACCGATGAGTCTTTTGGTAGTGAAATGTTGAATTTTGATAATTGAGATTGATCAAAATTTAACTTGGGAGGGGCCGCTGTGCAAACCTTAATAGCTCGATTGTCGGTGATTGACAATGTCGGCAGGAGTAAAATTTGAAGGTTTTGGTGAGTGATAATCAGGGAAGAGAATAGTGATGGTATGAGATCGCAACAATACCGGAATCGGAAACATAATATAAATTTGAATGGTAAAGTGATATTTTAAAAGTTAGTGGGGGGAAAGTATCATTAAGCTATTATTTGAGTGGGAAATGGTCGTTTACTCCACAATTAAATATTTGAATATGTAATTTTCTAATATTAACATATTCAAAATTTTATTTATTTATCTTATCACAAATAAAGTGTATTGCTATTGATAGAAGGATTTTATTTTTTTATAATGTCTAACGACACATGTTAACAAATCCTCTAATCCTTAGAAGCAGTTGAAATTGGGCGTATAAAGGGGAGACAAATCGTAAAGATGGTATGTGTTGGGGATGAAATGTATTATTGTAGAGACAAGATAACCATGTTTTAGCCTAATTAATCTATATATTAAAAATTCCAAATCGGTGGTCAAAAGTCCAAATCCTGTTATTTTAATATTTGAGTGCTAAGATGTTGGAGGCAGGATTGACAATCGATGACAAATGGAAACTAAAAAAACATAGAAACTGAACAAATAACAAGAGGCTGGCCAAAATGAAAGAGTCCGATAATTGACTCGGTCACGTTCTTTCTAAACATAAAATGGCTCGACCATTATTCAAGTCAAATTATGTCCACATTAGACCTTTCTTTATGAACCAAATTACAACGTTAAAATGAAATTTTGAAAGACTGGTAGGTAGGTTAATGGAAGTCAACTCTTGTGTTGAAGCGTCGAACGAGGGTTGAGTAATGGATAGGCATATTCCTACGAGGCTCTTACACAGATCTCATGGTAAAGATAAGAAGAATTTTTTATGCGCTTTTGCTGGTTGAGAAATCAGAATGCTTCACCGCCACCTCTTTCTTCCACCGCTGGAGTCTTCAATCTTCATTCCCTGTGGACACCACACGCTCTCTAATCGTAGTCAACACTTGGTTGATTACCACCACATAACATCATATGATCATCATACAATCACATTAAATTACCCTGTTTTTTGACATACAAACAAAATAGGGAAAGATGAACGAATATTTAGTAGTTGATACCATTTTCTGATTTGGTGAGAAAAATTATAATATTTTTTTCATAATTATTTTCTACTCTTCTAAGTTTGTTGAAAACTTACATAAATTTATTACCATTTTTAAAAAAATTATAGTGTATATGGTAAAATATATCTTAAAAATGTCATCTTAGAAAATATATTATTTTATATGGTATTAACATATCATTTACCAATTCATCAATTTATTTACATATTAACATCATATAAAATTATAAATTAATTTTTTTAAATATATTTTAGGACAAGTAGTATGACCGTATTAATCTTAAAAAAGAAGGAATAAGTTTCCCCAACGTTTAGATTTGGCATATCACATGGTAATAAATGTGCTCCCGCAACCACGATAACATTTCCCTATTCTCCACACACACTTTAAAGACTTGTTAAGAAACTGCACGACCGTTAGGAGCTCAGTCTCTGTCCCAAGTAGGTCCCAAACCTCTATCAAGCCAACCAATCACACTTCGACGCGTTTCACCGATTGCAGCTGTATCCACGACATTTTCGTTTCACAGAATATGCGGCGTTCCATTCCCAAACCCTTTTTTTCCCACGGTTACGAAACGTAAGAATTTTCTTTATCCTCTTTTATTTTTTTATGTAATTTATTATTATTATTTTCTTCTGGTTGCCTTTAAAAGGCAAAGGAAACAAAGCGGGAACCAGTACCAGTTCTTTGCTTTCCTCTACTTCGGCGCCCTATTGGAGACTTTATCTTCGCTGTCACTTCTTTCGTCTCTTATTTTTTTTTTCTCTCTCTTTCGTAGCTCCATCTCTTTTTGAGATCTGTGCGTTTCTTTTGTTCTCTTCAAGCCGCTTGTTCGTTTAGAGATCAAAACTTCAGCTGCGAAAGGTATGTTTCAAAATCATTTTGTTTTTTCTAGTCACAAATCGTCATTTTCTAGGGTTTGTTTGTGCTTCCCGAGCTGATTATTTGATACTTGTTCTGTTTCTTCCTTCTGGATCTGATTATTTAATTCACATTGAAGAAAATTCACATTGAAGAAAGCAAGCTCACGCGTACTTTTTTTCTTTTTTGGTTACTTTGTATGTTAAGACGTGCTTAAACATTATTGTTTCGATTTATTAAAATATTTAATCGATTTTTCATTTGTACCGGAGGATCTCGCCTTAAGAGAAAAATACTTTGTGAGTATTTTTCGGTGGCAGGACCGTTCATTCGAAAATCAGAACTGTTTATTATCTATTTTTTACATTTTCACATTTAGCGTGGATTAAGCGTTGCCGTCTCCTAGATCTGAGTCTTGTCTTTCTAGATTTATGGTTTTCATTTGCGTGGATTAAGCATTTGGTTAGAAATCAATCAATCAATCTGTGTCAACATTTCTCCGAACCTGTTTGACTTTGACGTTCTAAGTTGAATAGTCTCAAAGTATTGTTTGGCTAGCGGTGAAGAAGTACTCATTTGCTTTTAAGCAGGAAAATGTTAGCCAAAATAGCCCAAAAAAATGTGTTACGAAACTCGGAATCTTATCTATTTTGTGAATTTTAAGAACACAGTTTTGAAACTTTAACGATTTCTCAATTTCATTTTTGGGTCTCTTTTGCTCCTTATGGAGTTGACAAAATGGACTTTTACAACATTAGATCTTGTGAAATGGTAAAATTTTATATGAATTTGCTCTTGCATCAATGAATACCTGTTATTGATGTTGCTTGTTTACCGTAGTTAAATACATATTAAATCCTCTAAAGGAAGACGTGTATTTGAGAACTTATTAAAAAATATCTTAAGTGGTCGTGGTGTCTTGGTTGGTATAAATATTTACGATATTATGTGATAAAGAAGCTTTAAAATAAATGCTTTTAGGTTTATGCCCTGTTTTCACTTGACTTAATTGTGTATTAATTAATGTTTCTTTAGTTTGACATGGCAGATATGGCCCCTCCAATTGAGACTCCAACCAAACCTCCCACCTCTCAGCCTGCGCCAAATCCTCCTCTGAATGAAAGGATTCTCTCTTCAATGACCAGGAGGTCTGTGGCTGCACACCCTTGGCATGATCTTGAGATAGGTATGTGATAATTATGTCAGTAACATGGTGGTAATGCTTGGTTTTTTTTCTTTTTATTTTATTAAATCAAAACAATAACTTATTATGTTATTCTTTTGTCATTTAATCTCAGGTCCTGGAGCTCCAAAAATTTTCAACTGTGTAAGGATACTGAACTTCACCTACCATTTGGCTAGTATTCCATGGAATGGCATTGGCATATTTGTTCATTTATATAATTCTGCTAGCAAACTTTTTACTGCTAGCTGTCATATATCTTACAGGAAGCCCACTGAACCTTAGGACTTAGGATTATAATGAGGCACTTCAATAGTGCCAACTTAACGTTCTTTTTTTTTATTATTATAACTATTATTATTATTATTGTTACATTTTAATGCTAGGAAAGCTTATGTAGCTATTAGGGACCTCTTTGTATATTTTTGAATGCTTTCTTTACAAGGTGCTATAGCACTTGCATTCATTAATGAAATATGAATACTTCTTTGTTCACCACTTATGAGTGATGTAGCATGGATGTGCATTCTGACGTAACTGGTGTCGTTTATGCAAATTTTCTCTCCCTCCCTCTCTATATCTTATGAATCTCACGCTATTAATTTTTTCTCATAAATATAATGAATAACCACTATGTTATTGTCCATGTAAGAGAACAAAGCAAAGCTGGTGTTTGTTTAATTTAATAAATTTAGGAAATGTAACTAATTCTTCATTTTTAATGCTTGGATATTTGGCGTTCTCACTTATATGTTGCACTGAAAATGTGATTGATGTATGCAGGTGGTTGAAATAAGCAAAGGGAGCAAGGTGAAATATGAACTTGACAAGAGAACTGGACTGATCAAGGTATCATTTGTGCTATGCCAATTTTCTTTATGGTTTTTATACATCAGAATTGATTGCTAATGAATGGTAATTGTTCAGGTTGATCGTGTGCTTTATTCCTCAGTTGTTTATCCCCACAACTATGGCTTTATTCCACGTACCCTTTGTGAAGACAATGATCCATTGGATGTGCTGATTATCATGCAGGTATGCCACATGATCCTTTCCGTTTCGTATATGCTCATGAATCACAAATGTAGGCTCAGAAATTTAAATGCCCAAAATTATTCAAAGCATTTGAATTTCAACTACAAACTGAAATTTGAAAAGAGTTATCCCCTTAAATTTCATTGGGCAATTGAGATAGTCCCTCAACTCCTTGTTACCCTTCGGTTTGAATGTTTTGAGGGCAAGTGGAACTTGGGATAACTGTTTGGATGGTAGTCCGCTAGACAAAAAATTGAATTTGATAATTTTTGCTGGTCCTTAAATGTGGTATGATGACCTGACATTTACCCATATTGTTAGTGTCTTGATATGGATTTCCTAACAACTTTTGAGACCATGTATTGAACTTTTGGAATTTTTACAGGAACCAGTTCTTCCAGGATGCTTTCTTCGTGCTAAAGCCATAGGTATGATGCCTATGATTGATCAGGTATGTATATCCCATGCAGATAAAAGTGATTCTTCATGTTTATATACATGTTCTGAAGAAACATTGATTTAATGAATGCAGGGTGAGAAAGATGATAAGATAATTGCTGTCTGTGCTGATGATCCCGAGTACCGGCATTACAATGATATTAAGGATCTTCCACCTCATCGATTGGCTGAGATCCGCCGCTTCTTTGAAGACTGTATCCTTCGTAAAATCTCTTTATTTCTTAGCAAGCATATATTTCACAGAATGTATACAAGCATAAATATTGAGTGTGAAATCCTATTTCTTTCTATGGTACCAGTGACATGAGATTCATTCTCTTCTTTCCCTTAATAAATTATTCAGACAAGAAAAATGAGAATAAGGAAGTTGCTGTTGATGACTTTCTGCCAGCCGCTACTGCTTTTGATGTAATCGAGCATTCCATGTAAGTAATGATCCTTTAGCCTGAGCCATAGACTTGGGGGACACATGCACACCCCAGTAGAAACTTTTTTTTAATCAATGACACTGCTCGCTAATTTCTTATTCATGCATAAATTGTTTCAATTTTGTAACTTATGTTTGAGAGAGGTATATTTGACATTCATCTGATAGTCAAATCTTCCTCCTATTTTTTCATATGCATATTACTCTAAAATTCTGAAGTACCCCTCTCCCTTTCTAAGTCCTTTCATTTTTGTCGTTGCTCTTACGTCATGTGGCTTTTGGAGAGCTTAAGCTGATGAAATGCCTTCTATTTTGTAGGAATCTTTATGCAGACTACATTGTGGAGAGCTTGAGGCGGTAGTCATTTAGCTTCTGAAGCGATAGGTGGTTGTGAGTCATAATACAGATATCGTGTTGTTATATACAAGTCATTAGCTCATGATACTGAATGATGATATATGATGGCGATAATTTTGAACAGTTCTGAACTGTAATGATAGTCTTTCATCTATTGTGTGCTAAAGAGATATATGTTTTTCATTATTTGTTTCGTCTTTTTTTTTTTTTTTGTTTTTTTTTATGAAGCAGATTATAAATATCCTAAGCAAGATGCACTGCTTGGTTGTTGATATTTGGAACCGGGCTTTTCACAGAGGCCCAGTTGATATAAAATATGTAGTCAATCTTGGATTTGTTTGTTATATTTATTCATTTATATGCCAAAGAAAACTAGTTACTTTTCGCTGGATGTTCACATGATATTATATAAGCAACTATTCTCTTAGGCCTCCTTTGATTGAGAGATTTTAAAATCCATGATTTAAATCCATGTATTTAATAAATTTCATTGTTTGGTTTAAATATAAAATCTATAGATTGTTGATTCAAAGTTTGGTTAGATGAATAAGTTCATAGATTTGATAAATAATTTTCAATTCTACCCTCAATATCCAATCAACAAAAATTCAACTTTCATTCATTCAAATAAATACAAGTTAAATTATATGTGTGATAGAGAAGTCTAATTATAATAAATGTTTTTTTGTGATTTAGTATAAAAAACAAGAGAAAAAAAATTCTAATATAATATATTAGCAATTATCTTTCATAACTTTAATAGTTGAATAATTTCATATTAAAACATATAACATAATCATATAGTTGAATAATTTCATATTAAAACATATAACATAATCATTTCTATATAGAAAATTAGTAACAATATAATGCACTAATTTATTGGCCATAACGATTCATTTTCTTTTAATTACTTTTAATTAGTGTAAAGGGTAATTAATGAGATATTAAGTTATCAATAATGCTACGGATACCAGTATTTTTACACTGAAATCTTGTACTGGTCTACGTATCCCATGATTCACACTAGCAAATCAGACACGTTTCACGTTATTAAATTTTTTTCCAATGAACGGCCGTTCATCAAATATGGACGGCCATTCACTTACATGGACTCCCGTCCATATTATATAGACAGAGGTCCATTTACTACAGACGGGCGTCCCTATTTAAAGAACGCTCATCCATTAGTAGAATGAAATAAAAAAATATAAACAAAATTAAGGGACGACCGTCCATAACTTGGGGACGGTCGTCCCAAAAAATGGATAGGCGTCCACATATAATGGACGCCCGTCTAATATTTTAATAATAAAATTTTATTAAACAAAATTAATGGACGTAGTCCATTAACAATACTTTTAAAAAATTAAAAAAAAATGGATGTCAGTCCACAAGGAATGGACGGTTGTCCCTCGTGTGCCATCAGTTTGATACAACAAAGAGAGTCACGATTCCTAAAGATTTTTGACAGCATCTAGGGAAGCAAGGTCATTTCTGACAGCATTTTTGAGAAAGAAATTGATAAAAGAAAAATTACAGATTTTTGACGGCATCTAAGGGATGAGGCGAGTGCTGAGGTGGTAGAGTTGAAGAAGAGTATGGGGGAGAAGGGAGTGAAATTGGAGGGATTAGAGAAAGAAATTGACGGGCTGAAGAGTGAGAAAGTTGATAGTGAGAAGAAAGTGAGGGAGTTGGAAAGAAAAGTTGGGACTTTGGAAGTGAGGGAATTGGAAGGGAAGAGTAAAAGCGTGAGAGTTGAAGAGGAAATGAGAGAAAAAATTGATGACAAAGAGAGGGAAATTAGTGGGTTTAAGAAGAAAGTTAATGTTTTGGAGTCTGAATTGGATAAGTGGATAGTTGAGAAGAAGTCAGTGGAGGGAAGTTTGAAGGAATCAGAGAGCAAATCCAAGGAAATGGAGGCCAAGATTACTGACTTGGAGAAAGAGATTGATGAGGCGAAGACATGATTAGTGGACTCAAGGAGAAGATAACTTCCAATTTTGACATGATTAGTGGACTCAAGGAGAAGATAACTTCCAATTTTGATTAAGGGATGACCGTCCAGAAATGGTGAACGGCTGTCCCTTTATTTTATTTAAAATTTTATTTTTTTTAAGTATAGACGTCAGTCCACACATTAGGGACGTCCATCCGTAGTAAATGGATCTGCATCCATGGTAAATGAACGGTCGTCCATAGTTGATGAACGGCCGTTCACTAGAAAAAAATTTAATAACGTAAAATGTGTTTGATTTACTTGTGTGAATCACGAGACACATAGGCCGGTATAATATTCCGGTGTAAAAATGTAGGTGTCCGTAGCATTATTGTTAATATTATTGTTTATTTATTTATGTTCGGAGTGGGCCTTGGAAATGGTTCAATGAAAGCTTCATGTCTTGATGGTGATCCATTGCCAAGTTATTGCCTTCATGACCTTTGGGTTTCTCACTGACTCACTGTAAAGAAACCATCATAGTGATAAATAAAAATTACATACCCATATATGTTGACAAAAGTACAGCTTAAGCATCAACCATCCACAATAAAATTGCATTATTAGGAAAAGTAATTGAAAGTTTTATAGGATAAAAAAGGACAGTAATAGAATTTTCCGTTCAATCTTTCTTTTATTCCATATAAAATAAGGGAATGAGTGAACTGATAATACACTTCATCCTCCCAAGTCCTAAACTCAACAATTCATTCGTTTTGAGACAAGGATCCTCCTCATACTATAAAGTAGTTGGTGCAGTTTAATCTTAAGGGAAGGAAGATAAAATAATACCTATAATATAACAAAGGAAACTGAAAAGGTTTTCCCAAAATTCAAGATACCGACTTGAGTAAAGATACAAGAATGATAACTGAAATCTTATCATGTGTTAAACTAAAGCTCTTCAACAAAAGCAGAAATCAAAACATAAAAACTTTAAAGTTTGACTGTGGAGGTTCAGCCATTTAACAACCTTTGGCATTACCCAAAATTTCCGAAAAAGAAGTTGAAAATGTTCTCCCTAGTAAAAGAAACCAAGAACTTTTCCACCAACATATTTTCTCCTAGCCTCTTCATGATCCATGATGCCCGCAGATGTCGTAAGAACAATGTATCCAAACTGCAAATTTGGAATCATTGGTTACACCAACAAAACATGATTTTCAGAAAAGGAAAAAATTAATTAGATCATATCGATTTCTTCATTAATGCAATTATTCCGTTAACATTTTTACTTAATTAACCAAGAATTTCACATGCTAACCTGTCTCGAGGGAAGTAATCTGGCAGTCCAGGACTCGATCTCTTTGACTCCAACATCGAAACGAGGGCTAATAACCCCACACTTGTTCAACCTGCCATTCAGTTCAACCACAATTTTTCCAGATCTGTGATCATCAACGAACTCAAATTCGCCAATATAACCTACAGTCCAAAGAAAATTTATACATATAGGTGAAGCTGACAAATTTTAACAGCATAAAACATGAATTTTAAAAACAAATGGGTGGAACACTAACCATGCTTCTGCATGACCAGAAGAAACTTGATAACAACCTTTGAAGAAGGTCTGATCATGACTTGTCTCTTTCCCCTCTTCTCAGCATTATACATGCTCTTAAGAGCATCATTCAGGACACTGACTCTCACCATTCTTACAAAGACAGGCTGCTACAAAATTACCCCGGAAATCAAATAATAAGAACAACAGCATAAACAGACTCAATTTTGCCGAGAATGGAAAAGATATTTATTGGTCACCATTAAATGGTATGTCATGCTTCTGGTAACCACTAAACATGACAGCATCAAGGACCAAAATAACTTTAACCAGAGAGACCTCATAGGATAATCACACAACTTCCAATTTTTATACCTACCACCATTTGATTGGTACCATTGAATCAACATGAATTACCGAAAGTGTGAATCCTAATTCCACTGCCATATATTTGTGATTGCTTTACAAATTAAATTCATTTAAGCAAGTACACTCTTGGTTTGATTAAGCCTAATTTGGCACGTCAGCCAACATCAGAAACAAGTTTCAAATAATCACTTTTGAGCGTGCAGCCGTGCACTGCTAGAAAATAAATTCCACTAGCCTTAGCAAAAACAATAACTTCTATGTTGCTAACTTGACACACAGGAAAATAAACACATAACTCTATCTGCAACTCAATAGACACTTTCTTGAACTAAATTACAATCAAATTACTTCTTTAATCTTAATGCCATAAAGAGATTGCGTATTTTATTCTTAGTATTATCCTAAAAGTTTTAATTTGTGAAAACACGCAAATACAGATAATTATGGTCGTATTCATATCATTGCAATTTTATAAACGCTCCTATTCAATTCGCCTACATTCACAGTGCATAATGTTTATACCAACAAGATATATATTTATTATCTTCTCACCTAAATTAAAATCTTCACACACATCCTCGTCTAAAAAGATAAATCGACATGGAAACTAGAACAAAAGCAACAACCATACAGAATACACCAATATAAACACATCTCATTACCATAAACAATGACAGAAGTAGCAGCTAAAAAATTAATATAAAAATACAAAAGCTTCATAGACGAAAGTAAATCTTCGTTTAAAGTTCTGTGGTTGAAGAATATGAGATCATACCTAAGAGTTGAAATGGGTTTTGGCCGCCCTGGTAACGATATGAGTGAAGAAGATACAAGTAATATTAGGGTTCGGCCTTGGATGTTCAACTTAGTAACAGTTGTCAGTTGGGCAGCGTTAAAACCAGAAGATGTAATTACTTTTATACCCTTTCTCTAAGAATAGATGGCGGGTTAGAAAAATAAATGTTTTTTCATTATTTTAATATCAAATAAAAATGATTTTTGATTCCAAGTATAAAACAAAACAGTGGTCGAGAAGTTAATCAATTAACTTTGAGAATGAATTTTTCTTTTCAAATTTATTAGAATGTCATTAATTAATAAATAAGAATGAATTATAGTTTTATGTTAACAATAACTTATAATGAATAATAATATTTTATATGTATATAGAAAATGTCTAATCAATGTTTTGAAAACCGGACCGGACCGACTGGTTGGATCAAGAACCGACAACCTCTCCGGTCTGATTCAGGTCATGGGGGTTTTTGTTATATTTTAAACTTGTAGGGATTAATTAAAATTTTCTAAGAATGTTTTGTAATATTTCAAATCTTTAAGGACTAATTGAACTTTTGGATATTATGAATATATTTAATTTTTTTAAGGGACTAACTTACAATTTTTAGGGATATTTTGGCAATATAGTAAAATTTAAAGGACTAATTATTTTTTTTTTTAAATTTTATTTGTTGTTGATGCATCGGTTCACCAACCTAACCATGAACCAAGCCCTTGACCAGGTCCAGGGTCGGTCCGATTTTCTAAACATTGTGTCTAATTCATCACAAATGTTTGTTAAGATAATATTATGTTACAAATTTCACATGTGTTGATGTGTATTACTTATTTTAATGCGTCATTTGAAATTATTATAGTTTAAGCCTACAAGAGTTTACTAAATTCATTTCAAAAGTAATTATGGCTCAAATTGATTATTAAATAATATATTTAATAAAAAGTTTTAAAAGTGGGTTTGAGTTGTTTTCAAGAAAAAAAATTGCCTATGGAAGTCTCAACTACAAAAATATTATAACAATTACTTAAAATTTTGCATTTTTAATACATAATTATTTGATTTATTTAATATTTTAACAAAAACATATTTTAAAATTTGAAATATATTAAAAAAAAAAAAAGACCATCGCAAACTTGATCAGCGCGATTACTCAGGTGCCGACTGCCGAGCTACGCTTTGGCCTAGCTGGCCAGCCCACCGAGGCAAAGAATGATTCCTTGTTTTGCAATATATATAATATATTTATGATAAATACTTATGATTTTACCTTAAGAAACTTATACATATATATTTTTGCAATTAAATTAGACGTGATTTATGTTCTAAATAATAGTATACAAATATTAAATTGGATTCTTACTTATTTATACTTTTAAGAGTTTGTTATTTTATTCTATAATCTTTTTAAGTTTTTTTTTTTTTTTTTTTTTAAACGACATCCTCCTACCAAAGTTTAGCTTAAAGACAATTTCACTTGGTGAATTCATGAACAGTCAAGAGGTAAAATTAATTATATATATATAAACCCCAAATTACTTCTCGCCCTCCCATTTTGTTCTTCCTCTTCTTCATCTCCCCCTCCTCTGGCGACGACGACCCTCACCGACCCTACCGCCAGATTCCCCTCAACCTCCTCTACAAACCCCACCCACCCCACCTGCCATTGTCCTCCAAAACGCCAACCACCACATCATTTTGTTGTTTCGTGCACTCCAAGCCCTTTTTCGGCCATTCTCGGTGTCGGAAATCCATCCCATCACCACCCAAAGTTCCATCGACCTCCCACCTCAAAAACCCTCAATACCTCGACCTCAACAACCCACCATTCGCCGTCCATTCCTAGTCTTAGGGTTTCGCAATTTTGGCGGAATTTGGTTTTTTTGAGATCATTTTTTTATTTTTTTTGTAAGGAGTTTTGTGTGTTTGTGGTTGATTGGAGTTTATTTGGGTTGGCTTGATTTCGGGTGTGAAGATTGAGCTATGTTTGTTTCCCTATTCAAACTATATGTCAATTAAAATACATATTTGTTTCAATATTCTCAAAATCCAATCATATTCTATTCAACTCAAAATATTTAGATTTTTTTAACCTCTTAGGTTTGCTAATTTAACTAAACACCTCAAACAATAAAAGTTTATAAATTCACAAAAAACATACCTACCAACCCACATATTGCCGCCTGCCAGCCACCATTACCGCAAGGTGGTCGGAATCTACCGGAATGGTGCATGACCGGCCAATCTGGCCTTTTTTGCCAGACCCACCATGGATCTGGTCGAAAAATGTCAGATCTATGGCCAAAGATATGGCCGTTGACGATGACCATATCTTAGCTATCGTTGATGGCCAAACGACAGCCAAGATATGGCCGTCGTCAACAGCCATATCTTTGGCAGTAGATTTGGCCGAAAAAGGTCAAATCGGCGTACTATCGGCCAGATCCAATCGGTCGTGCACCATTCCAGTGACTTCCGACATTTAATAGGTGGGTGGGAGTGTTTTTGTTAATTTTAAAACTTTTATTGTAGGGAGCTTTAGCTAAATTAACAAATATAGGGGGTTAAAATTAATGTAAATACGTTTAGAAAATGTTTTCCAAAAATTTACTAAACACATGTTCGAATTCAAATCTTATTTTCGTAATAACAACCCAACTCAACTTTTTCAAAAATACTATTTTACATACTCTACCAAACACAACCTAAATTTTTGCATTTTTTTTTGGCACACCACCTGCTCGACCATTTTCCCCAATCATCTCCTCTCGAACAGGTGAGGAACCTTTTGAAAGGCTGGCGGCGACGACAGTGGATTGGGTTGAGAGAAGTAAAAGGGTTGGAAGTGTTAAATTGAATTGGAGGCTGCTTTTGAGTTCTTTTTAAATTGGAGATTGATTGTATGGTGGAATCAAATTGGTTATTGATTGATTGAGTTTCTTTCTGACTATTTTCCCTGCCACTAGCCACCATTTATTCCGGCTATTTTTGGCTACATAAAAAATTATTATCCTATCATTCTTTAAACGGATTTTACTAACATATCTTAACAATTGGTGGGTTATTGTCATTTTCAAACTTATTGGGTACGAAATTGTCTTTAGAGCAAACTTCGGCTGGGAAGATATCATTATCCTTATTTTTATATTTTATAAAATGTCGTAACTTACTGTGTTCTCTCTTTTTATTTTCTTTCCTTTTTATATGTCCCTCATAATCGGTAAAACACACTAGGGTTGTGTTTGGTAGAGTATTTAAAATAGTATTTTTGAAAAAGTTTAGTTGGGGTGTTATTACGAGAATATGATTTGAATTTGAAAATGTGTTTGGTAAATTTTTGGAAAACATTTTCTAAAAATATTTAGATTGTTTTTTAATCTCTTACATTTGTTAATTTGGCTAAACACCCCTACAATAAAACATTAAAAATTAACAAAAACAACCCTACTCACCCATTAAATGTCGATAGCCAGGTGTGGCCGGAAGTCGCCATAATAGTGCACGACTAGCTAGATCTGGTTGATCGTGCATCAATCTGACATTTTTTGGCCAGATCTATGGCCAAAGATTTGGCCGTTGACGACTAGAGTTAACCACATATGGTCGTCAACAACGCTAGAAAATGCCAGATCGACGCACGATCACCACATCCAGTCGATCGTGCGTCATTCCGATTGATTTCGGCCACCTTTTGGCGATGATGGCCGGCTGTCGGGAATATGTGGGTAAGTGGGGGTGTTTTTGTCAATTTATAAACTCTTATTGTTGCGGGTGTTTAGTTAAATTAACAAACCTAGAGGGTTAAAAAAATCTAAATATTTTGAGTTGATTACAATATGATTGGTTTTGAGAATATTAAAACAAATATGTATTTTGGGTATGATTGAATAAGATAGGATTGGGGGAAAATGAAACAAACAAAGCCTAAATAATCAAGATTAGATGTAGTTATAATGTCATCAACAAGGTAATTAATTATGCTAAGGAGATCAAACTTTAAATATTCAAAATGCATTGACTAAATTATACAATTTTTTGTAATGAGACTCTAGAATTTTCTTCTTAAAATTTGTATTTTAAAAAAAAAAATCTTCTATTAGATTTTAAAAATATATTGTAATAAAACATAATTTCGAACTTGTAATATATGAGGTAAAATGTTTAATGAGTAATTGTAAAGCATATTATATATAAATAACGAAAGTTTTATTGGTTGAACATAAAATATATTCAGGCCTCCCAAAATAAGAATCCTAACTTCGCCCCTGGCGTTATTGACACCATTTCCGCTTCTAAATTATTTTAATAATTGTTATAAAAACTTATTTAAAAATGATGATTTTAGTTTTTTAATGTGCAATATATAGAAACTTTGAAAAACACAATAATTTAAAATTTTAACTATCTCTAAGTGATCGAGTAATTTGATAAGGACTCTTGATATATTACTTAAAATGTCATGAGTTTGACTCTCTTCTTAGTTATTAATAGGGGTAACCACTATAATTTTTATCTGATCGATAATTTCAAGGTCTTAAAAGATTAGTTGAGGTACGTATACTCTGGTTAGATACTCCTGATCATAAAAAAAATATATATATATATATATAAATTTTGATTTAAAGAGAGGCATTGTAATTTTTTTCTCAAGCCTGTTTATGCTAATACAACCACCATAAATGATAGTGATGTGTACATACCTTGTACATAAAACACAGATTGAGTTAGTTACAAAACTTTAATCATCAATTTAAAAATTAAAGTAAAAAGATTAAAACAAACATTTTAGTCAATAAAAAAAATTCGTCACTTTTAACTCCACCCTTGTTCTATGCTTATCCAACAAAATATTCCAAAATACAAACTAAATCATTTAAACCTATTCCCCTATGCCTGCTCTTTATCCCAAACACAAAACGAAAACAAAGGCTACGGCTGGTTCAATATTTTGGGGGGGTTTTTAGAACAGTATTTTGAAAAAATTGAGTTGAGTTGAATTATTTTATAAAAATATAATAATTATTATTTTGAGAGTTTAAATCCAGTAGAATTAGATTTTGAAGATATTAAAATAAATATATTTTTGAATTTTTAGGATACATAATGGAATATGACAGAGTAATAATAGCGAATAAAGGGCAGAGAAAAAAACCTTTCAATCCAAAAATATCCCTAAACCATAAACCCTCTTTCTTTCCCCTCGACTCAACCTTCAACTTACAAAAGCCCTAATCCAAAAATACTCACCATGAGCTCCTTCACGAACAGCACCAGCAATTTTGATAATCTCCTGCTTCAGACCTTGATGGGTCGCCTTCAAATCAGGCCAACAAACGGCAACGTTTCCAGTCCTTTCTTCACTCAGGAGGCCCTCGAAGACCTTCTCTTTGACGCAGCCAATCTCTCAGATTCTTCATCCGATGATGACTCAAACAAAACACAACTCTCCAAAGAAGAATCGAAGCTCGAAAAAGAGATAATCAAGATCATCCTGTCTAGTAAGATTGAATTGCTTAAGCCCAACTCAGGCCAAGCTGTTACGATTGGGGAACACCACATCTGTGTCGGATATCACGAGGAAACGGGTTCGGATTATCGGGTCTGGGAGTGGCACGGGCATATAATGTTTTTTGACGAGGAAAATGGGTACTCGCCTGAGTACATATATGGGAATTATTTTGAGAGGTTGCAGGGGAAAGTGACACGTGCCAGTGGCGCTGTTGAAAAGGAGAAAGAAGATGAAGAAGAAGAAGAGGAGGAAGAAGAGGAAGAGCAAGTAGGGAATTTGGGGTTGAGAGAACTGATTGATAGTACGGATACGAATGCGGGTCGGATCCTTCATCGGAATGTGAATAAGAGTTCTCCAAGGTTCGTGTGAAATATATATATATATATATTAAATATTTGTTTATTCTTTCCATTCTAAAATCACTATTACAATTATCATATTTTAGGGGCTATTTCTGCTGTGTTTAATTTGATTTAATTTGGTATGGTAGAGATGGTTTTATAATTAAGATTTAGTTATCGGTTGAAAACGTTGCAGCGGTTAATACTTTATGGTTGCCTTTGGTTGAGTGGGGGTCTTTGCAGTCATGGCATGCTGAACCTTTAGAGTGTTGTTGTTGGTGATGGTACCGTGTATCTCTAGTCCATTTTTTAGCTTTTATAGATGTTTGTGAAATGTTTAACATACAAGCAGGAATAAGTTTTTTTTATTTAATTTGATAAATCAAGAGTGATGTGTTTCTGAGTAAAGATACTTAATATTATTCATTATGTTTTGTTGTTTCTTTGAGTTCTTACTTTAATTTATTATTTTTTTATATGAACTGAAACGTCGAAAAAAATTCCCCCTTTATTTCTGAGAACAAATATTTATTGATGTGTCCTCTCTCACATGGTTTTCAAAATCTTGTGTTAGCCTTCATTCTTCTCAACTCTCTACTTTTCCTCCTAAAATCTACACTTTCATACACTTTAAGGAAAACAAACTAGCAAACATGTATTATAAGATTTCAGACCTATCAGTTCTGGTCTTTCCTGGTTTTACGAAAATTTATGTATATTTAAGTTCTTGCAATATCCTCCAGTGAGAGAGACATTCACAGCCGGTTAAATAGGAACGCTGTGAAAAGATGAAGCAGTCTAGCTCCAATATAAGTTTAATAGTGTCAATTTTATTCTATTTTTTTGTTTTAAATATATCTGGAAAAAACAGTGCATACATGGGTTGATTTGTTGATATTCAAATGTATCTGCATCAGTTGGATTTGCTTGTTCTCACATCACATGTGGGCACTCAACCTTGAGCTGATGCAAAACATTTGTACATTATGCATAGGTTACACTTCATGTATGCACGGTTTTTTCCAGATTTAATTGATTTCCCTCTCAACTTTATCCTTTAAGGACCACGCATAAGCTGTAGATCATGCTTGTTACAGTTCTTTCATCTTTAAAGTGATAATGCACAATTATTTAGATACGTCTTTATGAGTTTTTCATTGAATATCTTTGTCAATAAAAACCATGCATACATTGTAGGACACATTAAGAAAATGTTATTACCCTATAATTTCCATATCTTAAAGACTTTTCTGCATATTATGTGGTTTACTTATTGAATTTAACATGAATGCAGTGGGCTTTTGGGGGGAGATTCTAGAATTATAATTTTATTTTTTCAGTTGCTAGTTATAACATGTTTTGTATGTCACTTTTCTGTCGCAACATATTGACAATCAGTTGATGTTCTGAAAGAGTATTTGGTTTTCCTTTATCTACTCTGAAATTTACAGGTTTTAGTTAAGAGGTTTGTCTTCTGTCTGCACAAGAGGTTTTCAGTGTTAAACTGGATGGCTCCGCTCAGTGCCTTCGTCCAATTACTAATTAAAAGATTGTGGCAGCAGTCATGAATTTCCCCACCATTGCCGGAGCAGTTCCAAGGTTTCATCTGGTGTCTTAAATAGTTTCTATATTTGAATTTCAGAAACATGTTGGACAGCGTAGAAGATATTGGTTTTTCATGATGAGACTAGTCTCCTGATTTAAGAGCTGAATAAATGTGTGAATCATTATCTTTATTTACTTTGTAAAGACGATTGCTAATAGCACATTTTCACTCTCACTCTCCGCATGACACAAGTTTGAATGTCTTTTATACGCTATGTCAATAGGAGAGTGAATGGATGATGAATTTTGACACAAGTGATTTTGTTTCAAAATAGTATTTCTTTTAGTTCTACTTTCTCTTATCCTTTAATTTGGATGAGCATTAATTGTGTCCTGAAACTGAAATTTGTAGATTTTAATCTTACAGGATTTTCGCTAACCATATATGATTGATTGGTGTTTTCAAGATAAAAATTTAACCCCCAGTTTGTTTCACCTTTTTAAATCATTTTTCTGTTATTTTATTTGGATTAATAAATTTGTTTATCTATTGGGATCATAATTTTGAAAATCATTTTGAATCAAATAATATATTTTCTGTTGAAAATGAAAAGTGAGTGAGATTTGTTTTCTATTCTCTTATTCTAACATTTTTTCAACTCTATTTAACTAAAAATAACTACATTTCACAATAAAATGTTTATAAATTAACAAAAACACCTTTACTTACCCAAGTCACTGTTGGTCGTCGTCGTTGACATTGGAATGGTGTATGTTCGGTCGAATTTGGCCGGTCGCACGCAAATCTTGCTGTTGGTGGATCTGGTTGGAAACGATTATATCTAGGGTTAGATTTATGGTGGATCTGGTCGAAAACGACGACTAGATTGCCATTGACGATGACCAATTTTGGCTGTAGTTGACGGCTTTATTTTTGGGTTCTTAAAGTTTTATTGTTTTGGGGGAGACACTTTAGCTAAATTAACAAATATAGAGAATTAAAAAATATTCTAAATATTTTATCCAACTCTGATATAATTTTTAAATATTATACCAAACACAGTATCAGAATCTTATTCTATTCTATTTAATTATATTCTATCATATTCAAATAGTATTTATTCTATTCTATTTAATTATATTCTATCATATTCAAATAGTATTTTCTTATGTGAAAAATGGCAGTTGAATTATAAATAAATAGGATTTAAGTTCCTCAAATTAAAATGGTAAAGATAACCTATAAAGAAATAATATGTTGGCGTGAACCGGTACACAGCTTCTTGTGTATACTTGAACTATTACTTAATAAGAAAATTACCAAACATGACCGCCTAAAACTATAAAAAATAAAATCTGAACCGCCCATAGTTCCCTCCATTATCCTACACGAAATCCAATGCTGGTATTAATATCCACGTCAGCGATCTGCGTGAAACACTAACAACCAATAAGAAGCAACTTCGCCTCTCTATATAAAGTTTCCTTTACATCCGTCTTTCTTCGCCGAGCTCCTTAATTCACTCTCAACAATCTCCTCCAAACCTCTCTAGATCCTTCTCCCTTTTTTATTATCTTAGCAATGGCACCCAAGGCTGAGAAGAAACCCGCCGAGAAAAAGCCGATCGCCGAGAAGGTCCCAGCCGCCGCCGAGAAGAGGCCCAAAGCTGAGAAGAAGATCGCCAAAGAGAGTGGTGAGAAAAAGAAGAAGAAGATCAAGAAGAGCACTGAGACCTACAAGATCTACATTTTCAAGGTCCTTAAACAGGTTCACCCCGATATCGGAATCTCTAGCAAGGCCATGGGCATCATGAACAGTTTTATCAACGATATTTTCGAGAAATTGGCTCAGGAAGCATCCCGTCTCGCGAGATACAACAAGAAACCGACCATTACGTCGCGGGAGATCCAGACCGCTGTGAGATTGGTGTTGCCTGGTGAGCTGGCCAAACATGCCGTCTCGGAGGGGACCAAGGCCGTGACGAAGTTTACCAGTTCTTAATCTTTGTTTAGTTTGATGGGTATTTGACATTTTCAGATAATTTTTTTTTTTTTTGGCTATTGATGCTTAATAGATGTAATGCTTTCTGTGGACAGATTAATGAAAATTTCGGTTTCCCAAAGCTCCCATAACGTGTGATGAGAATGTGAATCTTGATGATATGGTTTTTAAATTGATTGGATGTGTTTGGGTGGTATTAGTAGATGGGTGTGATTATTTGATTGAGAGAATGAGAGGGATTGCTGTTGGTGGAGATTGCACTTAAGATTTTTTTCTTTTTCTGTTCTTTTTTTGTTTATGGAGATTGGCGACTTTCCTAATAATGGTTGAATGACAAACTCCGGGTTCTGTGGACGAAGAGTTGCGATGTCAAGAGGAACTTGGGACTCAGGATGTGCGATTCTAGGGATATGGCTGTTTGGTCCGACCCTCTATTAGGTTATGAATATATGGTTGTTTGGCCTAAACCTTTAATAGATTGTGAAACACAGCCGCATTTAGTTAACTAATATTTCGAACAATTTATTTGAGTGCATACTGAAATATCACAAATAATGTTGTGGTTTTGGGTTGAGACTATATCATTCAGCAGTGTGGATCGTTGGTGGCTTTGAGGAAGATTTAACCTGAGTTGGGTTTAGGTTATGGTAAATTGATGCGAAACCATGGCTTGAGAAAGATTTAACCTGAGTTCAGTGTTGGCTATGGGAAATTGATATGAAACCATGGCCTGAGAAAATTCAATCTGAGTATAGATTTTAGCAAATTGATATGACCATAGTTTGAACCTGCGTTTTAGTTTATGGGAAATTGAGATGACCATGTGATATGAACGTGTTCTGAAGTAGATAGGCGGAAGAAAATTAAGGAAATTGAGGATTCAATTATCAGTTTCTGATACTAGAATAATGTAATGTAATATTTTGACATTTCCAACAGGAGAGTTGATTAATATTTGTTTACAATTCATTCAAGAGTAAACAACATTTTCCCACCCAAAGTTTGGCGAATCTACAAGTTCTCACCCATGGTTTCATAAATTTCATATTCCCATCCTTAAATTAATAGAAAACTTCAAAATAACCATTCACTTCTCAAATTCATGCGATTTCAGGCCTTCAGCCTTGTTCATGGCACAGTCGAGCTCTCTCGACACCACCATTACAATCCTGTCAACTCCCACATCAAAACCCCTAATCTCCCAACTTGATTGAACCCTCAATCGTTGGCCATCGCTCTTAGTTTCAATCGGTGTTTCATCCAAATTTCGGCAAATCTTGGCACCGGAAACCACCCCTGACACCACCAATAGCATCATTGGCTTTCCTCCACCAAAACCCCCAACAGCTCCGATCGCAATTGCCCGCTGATCATTGTTGCCTCTCCCTTAGGTTTTCGCGTGTTGTCGCGCCTTTCTAGCCAAATTCCGGCACCTCGCCGTGGTGCACTCAGGTGGAAAAATTAGGGTTTTTGGTGAGGAGGATAAGAGGATGCTGATGGTGGTGTTAGGGAGGTCCAATGGTGTCGGAATCCTAGTTAGTAAATACTAGTACGGCAAAAAAAGGGTACGAAAATTTTACGGGTATGATACGGCAAATGGTGAAAAATACGTTTGTAAAAATTCGGTTATAAAATTCGGATACGAAAAAAATACAATACGGGTTTATACGAGTTTAATACGACACATTGTCAATAATACGTTTTGAAAAATATGGCAATATCAATTCTAGTTTTAACACTTTTCATGGGCCACTTAATTAAAATCTATATAACATTTCAAATATACGGGTACAGCAAAAAAAGGGTACGAGAATTTTACGGGTATGATATGGAAAATGGTGAAAAATACGTTTATAAAAAGTCAGCAAAAATTCGGATACAGGAATAATTCGCGAATAATACGGCTGAGGCATATAATTCGCGAATAATACGACTGGGCTTATAAAATACGGCTGTTCGTGAATAATACGTGAATTATACGAATGGGTGTATAATTCGCGAATTTACTAACTAGGGCTAGAATTAGGCCGGATTTTTGGCTTAGCCGAGATCTCTTGTGGGAGTTATTTTAAGAGAAAACTAACGATGTTAATTTAAGGGTGGGAACTCAGATTCGCCAAACCTTGGGTGGGAAAATGTTATTTACTCTTCCTTCAATTAATAGGAAAATGGGTGCCTAGACAGTGAAAAGAGCAACAAAGTTCATGCTTCATTTTCACGGTAAGAAAACTACATGATGAAGTTCATTATGGTACCTTTTCTTAAGAATCTATTATCCTTATTTTTTGCTCTAGTACCACAAAATTATGATTCTCCATTATACATCCCTTCAATCTAGGGGTGCGTGGGTCTGGGTATGCGCCAAAATCCCACGGAACTGGATTCGGAACTAGTCAACCAGAATCAGAATCAACTGGTTCCGAATCCTAAATACCTAGAACCCGGACCTAAAAAACATGTTCCAATTCGGGGTAATTGGAAAAATTACGAATACACCCTTTTAGTTACAAAAATAAAAAATAAACTCTTTGAAAACATTACAAATACACCCTGCAATATGTTTACAGAAACTACAAATGTCATTGTTGTCTCAGGCCAAATCGACATGCTTTTGGCGTCATCAAACACCCCTGACATCACCATCATACTCCCCTCAGCCCCCCGACCAAAACCCTTTTCACCTCCCACCCGTTCACCTAGCCATTCGTCGGCCACCAGTCACTGCCCACTGTATGGCCTAAGCGATTCAAGCCTTTTTCGGTCGATTCTATCATCGAAAATCACCTCTGTCACAACCAATTGATTCATTGAAATCACCTCTCCTAAACCCCCAACAACCTCGACCCTGGTAGCCCATCGATCGCCACCCTCCTCCACCTAGTGTTTCGCTTGAATGATGAATTGGTTTTGGTTCAATGGATGGTTGTTTGTTGGGATTGGTTGTGGATTTGGGTTTTGGATTGTTTGTGTGACACTGTGACTTGTGTGTTTGATTTTTCCGATCGCCGACACTCCCCAACTCCCTCACCTTCTTCCTCTTGCTCAACAAAAGGCTGTAACCACCTACTGCCCAACAACCCAGATTTTTAGACTCAGTTCCCAGTTTTGGTTCCGATTTCTAAAGTGGTGGAACCAAAACCGAAACTATAACCAACACCCTGGATACCCACGGCCCACAGGTACCGATTCTACCCTAAAATCTTGCCCACCCCTATTTCAATCTGCTTCATTTTACTTAAGTAGAAGCAGATGCCATTACCAATTGACAGTCTATGAAGGACACTTTTAAATAATATTTGTAGGTTTATTGTTCTCCTATTGTTTCTCTCCATTTCTTTTCTCCTGTCGTTAGATATAAACAGTTGTAATTTGAACTTTTGCCAATTTTGATATAAACTTGTTATTAAATCCCTTTGCTAGTTATGGATCAAGAATCCTCTTCTACTTTCCAAATCATTTATTTCTCAAATTCAGCTATTTGAGGTAACATTTTACCACAGCTTATTCAATAATACCTAGTCAAATAATATTCTTTCAATTTTATCCAGCGCAAAACACTTCACATTCTAGTTAGTACTCATATAGTCATATTTTACAAACCAAACATAAATTTAAGTTTACCAAACAGGTGTTTTCAACCTATAAAATTGTACTTTCAGGTTATTTATCGATGACTTTAAATTAGCCTCAATTAACATATGTTTTAGTTAATGAATCTTTCAATTATTCATGCAATAAACAGTTAAACACAGGCAAAGTAATCAAATTCTCCACTTCAAAGAATAAAAAGAGCATATTTACAAAAAAAAAAAAAAACTTGAGTTGCAAAGTTTCACCACCAAATTCAAACCAAAACAAGAACAGTACAGCCAAATGAATAATATTACTCGTCCCAAAAATCTATACCAAGTAATGTGTAAATCACTAAATCTTATGTGGTATTGACATACAAACAAAGTGATGATTTGGTGAATGATATAGCAATGCCATATAAGATAACAAGTCATTTGGGATAAATTTTCTGTGACACCTGGGATATGTAACATTTCTCCAACTAAATTAGCAGCTCCAATTACAAATTCATACACATCTACTACATGCACATGAGTGAAATATGTACAACCACCACCAAGTAACACAACACTTACAAATGCATCAATAAATGAAATTTTGGAACCATTGTGTTTCATTCATTCCAAACAAAGTTCTACACATACAGCAAATAAAACAGTACAATGATCCTAATCGCTACCAACATGAACCTTTCCTACAAGTCAAATACATGTAAGGAAGTTACAATACACATAGAAAGACAATAAGAAAGACTTAAAACCTAAGCCTTCTTCGGGGACTTGGTAGCCCTGGATGGCGATTTTGTCTCCTTGGTTGTTACTTTCTCAGATTTCTTGGGCAGAAGAACCGGGTTGATGTTCGGCAAAACACCACCATGAGCAATAGTCACACCGGCAAGAAGCTTCCCGAGCTCCTCATCGTTCCTTACGGCCAAAAGAACATGCCTTGGTATGATCCTGTTCTTTTTGTTATCTCTTGCAGCATTACCAGCCAACTCAAGAACCTAAACAAACTCAAAACAATGATTCTTCTCAGATGCACGAGATCCAGTCAAAATTAACTCCTTTATTTCTATAGATCAATATTATTTCCACATTTTAGCTCTAGGTTACTCTAACAAACATGCTTCGTTTTAACTTAGCAAATCCAAAATTAATCAAATCTCATCAACCAAATAAACCCTAGAAATTAACAATAAAGGTGTCCAGAAACACAAATTTGTATATAATTTATAAATGACTTCGAAAGTATAACTGACCATGAATGAATAGAGAAAAAAAAAAAAAATAGATACTGAAATTAGTACCTCAGCAGCGAGGTACTCGAGTACAGCGGCAAGGTAGACCGGAGCGCCGGTTCCCACGCGCTGAGAATAGCGTCCCTTCTTCAGGTAGCGACCGATCCTGCCGACCGGAAACTGTAGACCGGCTTTTACTGACCGGGACACCGGCTTCTTCTTTGGACCACCTCCTTTCCTTCCTCCAGCTCCTTTCTTTACTTTTCCTCCCGAGTCCATCACTTAAAAGTTCAAAAAATATAAATATATTTTCTCGAGAAACAAACAGGGAATTTTATGCAGGATTTAGAGAGCGAGATGTAACTCATCTGAGGGGTAGATGGTAAAATTTATATGAAGCTGGTGAGAAACGGGAGACGGCCTTGGTTTTGGATGGAGTGGTTGTCACCATTGGATTAGACATTTAATCGAGGGTCTAGAACTGATGAGATGGCGATCCGTGTGATCTAAAAGGGACAAATGAGGTGAGGGGAGAAAACAGAGTGGGTTTGGTTATAGATAAGGATTAAGAGCGAGCCGGTCCACTGTTCTTTTTTGCAGTGAGTGGATTGGAGGGAATCAACTAGGTCACATGATGTGGTAGCATCCTAAGTTATAAAAAGAAAAATTTAATTACTAATGTTTATATAAAATTTTACATATTATCAAAAAGAATTGGAGGAGATGAGCTTAGTATTCTCTACCCAAAATCTACCTTATTCGCTTCAATATTATTTATATACTTTTAAATACACAAATGATTTATCGAGCTTATATATATAAAAATCATTGTTTAGGGTTATTATCCCTCCCTCCCCTGAGGTTTGCATTTTTTTTATGAAACCCCATAAGTTTAAAATAGCTTCCCTCATCTCCCCTAAGATTTAAAAAATCATTGTTAGGTTTAGTGTATTTTTCTTAAAGTAAAATTCCTCTAAACCGCCTACATATATCTATATTACAAAAAGTCCCATTGGATGTTTGAAATTGTTCTCAACCCCCTATCACTAAAACCAAGTTACTCTCAACTCAAAACCAATTAATACCTTATTTACCCCTAATCCCACTAAAATCAAAAAATTAATAAATAAAATTTTCTTTTTGCTTTCACCAAAAAATAAAAAAAATTCGTAAATACAATTATACTCTAGGGATTTTTCTAAAATATCTGTATATTCAGGGTGTTTACCTGTTTTTCCGGTAAAGAATTTTGTTAGCAAACAGTTGATACTTACTTGATAGGGCAGGTATTAGAGAATATTGAAATCAAAGGGGAGGTTAGAGAAACTATTTTAAACATGTGGGTAGAGCTGGGCATTTGGGACCGGGGCTAAAAGCCTAGCTCGAAAACCCGGTCCTAGGACCGGTCCTCGAGAGGACCGGACGTAGGAAGCTTGGTCCCAAAACGGGACCAGGCCTAAGGAGGAAGGCCCGGGCCCTCCTCCAAGGCCTGGGCCCAAAAAAATTTGAATTTTTTCAATATAGTCCCCTACCAAATTACATAAACCCCCATGTTAATTTGAAAATAAATATAAATTAAGAGGGCTAAAATGAAATTTTATAAAATTTATAAAATAAAAATCTTCTAGGTCTAAAAAATTTATAAATTTTACCCCTAAAAAAATACTAAAAACCCCCCATAAAATTTCATTTTGCCCCCAAAATATAAAAAAAATTGAGGGGGGAAAAAAATTATCCAAGCCCCATGGGACTGGTCCTAGGACCGGTCCTGGGCCCATAGGACTAGTCCCTACCAGGCCTAAGGCCTGGTCTGGGTCCTAATTTTTCTCATGGGCCTAGGACCGGTCCCATTTGGAACCAATCCCAAACGGGCCCAGGCCTGGGCCTGCTTGGGACCGGTCCTGAGGTTGGCCTGAGGGATTGTTTACTATACTTAATAGAATAAATAAAAATAAAATTACACTTTATTTAAAAAATAAATGTAAGCTATTATTATTATTACATAATTTATTCTCATCTATAATTTGGTAATTTATTTTAATATTTTATATTAATTTTATGTAACATCAATTTTTACTAACAAATTTTATATCGTGTTTATGTGTTATTTAATTCTTTCCACCAATGATTGAGGGTGAGCGGTTTAGGGTACTCTGCAATTTTCAGAGAAATCAGAACCGCACAGTGCAAGTTCCCAAAAAAAGAACCGAAACCGAAATCACACACTGTAGATTCTTAAATTTAAGGAACCGAAACCTAAACTGTAGGTTCCGTTTCCTTTTCCGGGTATCCTATAAAAAATCAATTACCCCTCTATTGGTTTAAAAAATGACAAAAATACCTTAAAAGTTTAGAAATTCACCCTTAACAAAATTTTGATTACTCATTCATTTGTATCCGATGTGACTCATAAATCCTCTAATTTCTAGGCAACACTTGAATTCAATCAATTTATCACAATTCACATAAAATTTCTCAATCAAAACCAAAACACAAACAATTAATTAAATTAATTAAATAATCATAATATAAATCTATAATTTAATATTATAATTAATTATATTTCTAATCATTTAATTAAGTATTGTACTAATGTTTATAATAGAATATTATAATTAATTAAGTAATCATACTATAAATCTATAATGTAATGCTATAATTAATTAAAATTTTAATCATTTAATTAAGTAATGTACTAATGTAGTAAATTACTAATGTTTATAATGTAATGTTATAAATTTATAATTAATTAAGTAATCGTTTAACTATATAATGTTATAATTAATTAAGTGATTATAATATAATATAATGTTATAATTAATTCAGTAATTATTTAATTATAATATAATGTTTTAATTAATTAAATTTCTAATCATTTAATTAAGTATTGTACTAATGTTTATAATATGATATTATAATTAATTAAGTAATTATTTGTTTGTAACATAATGTTATAATTAATTAAGTAATCATACTATAAATTTATAATGTTATAATTAATTAAGTAATCATATTATAAATTTATAATATAAAGCTATAATTAATTACATTTCTATTCATTTAATTAAGTATTGTGTTAATGTAGTAAATTACTAATGGTTATAATATAATGCCATAATTAATTAAGTAATCATTTAATTATGTAATGCTATAATTAATTATGTGATCATACTATAATATAATATTATAATGAATCAAGTAATCATACTATAAATTTTTAATATAATATTATAATTAATTAAATTTCTAATCATTTAATTAAGTATTGTACTAATGTTTAAAATAAAATATTATAATTAATTAAGTAATCATTTATTTATAACGTAATGTTATAATTAATTAAGTAATCATACTATAAATTTATAATATAATGTTATAATTAATTAAATTTTTAATCATTTAATTAAGTATTGTGTTAATGTAGTAAATTAATAATGTTTATAATATAATGTCCTAATTAATTAAGTAATCATTTAATTATGTGATCATACTATAATGTAATGTTATAATGAATCAAGTAATCATACTATAAATATTTAATGTAATATTATAATTAATTAAATTTATAATCATTTAATTAAATATTGTACTATTGTTTATAATGGAATGTTATAATTAATTAAGTAATCATTTAACTATAATATAATGTTATAATTGATTAAGTAATCATTTAACTAATAATATATTAATGTTTATCAATTTATTATATATAATTAATTAATTACTAATTTATTATAGATATACATACTTAGAACTTGATAATTGAAGTAAATAACTAAATATTATATTATTATTTAATAAATATACTATTTTATTCAAAAATAATTATTTTAATAATATTAAAACACTTTTAATCGGTCCTAATTCAAATTATACATTTAATTAATCAAAACTTTAATATTAATATATTAAAGTTTTTTATATGGAGTAGTTTATAATTCCTAGTTAGTAAAAACGCGTATTATACGCGAATTGTACGGACAGCAGTATAATTCACGTATAAAATACGCGTATACATATTTTATAAAATCTGTCATATAATTCACGTATAATAAGGTTTCACGTATAATAAGGTTTCCCGTATAATTTGCGATTTTTTGAAAAAAAAAAAAATCTCACACCCCCAAAACGACGTCGTTTTGGTGGGTTTTTACAAAACATTAAGACAAATCTCATTCAGTCGTTCTTCTTCAGTTCTTCTTCGGCAGTCAGCAGTTCTTCTTCCTCAGCTCAGGCTCAGTGCTGGTGGGAGAATTCGATTGAAGAACTTATTCAGATGAGGAAGGCTTCTCAGGCTCAGTGCTGGTGGGAGAATCTGATTGAAGACCTTAGTTTGCCACAGCTTGAGCAGTTAAAAGGGGCGCTAGAGGAGCCGAAGAAGAATGCGACAAAGCAAGCTGAGAAGATTATGATCCAGAATTCTGGTCCTCCACAATTTCTTGGAGCGAGTTCATCAAGTGGTGGAGGGATTAATCTTCCATTTGATCTTCAGTCTGCTGGCTTCAATCCGAATATGATGCCTCCTCATGGATATAATCATCCTGGATTCAGACGTATTTTACTGAAATCCTTGATGGTTTAGAATGTTGAAAAGGGTGTCTGCCAGAACACAGTTTGTTTAGTTTATTCATGCCTCAGGGTGTTTGAGTCTTTAATTTTATTTATCATAATGTGTCTGTCATTTGGTTTGAAACATGTTTGGTTTCTTTTAATATTTTATTTATTTGCATACTTTAAATACACAAATGATTTATCGAATATATATATAAAAATCATTGTTTAGGGTTATATCCCTCCTCCCCTGAGGTTTGCATTTTTTTTATGAACCCCATAAGTTTAAAATAGCTTCCCTCATCTCCCTAAGATTTAAAAATCATTGTTAGGTTTAGTGTATTTTTCTTAAAGTAAAATCCTCTAAACCGCCTACATATATCTATATTACAAAAAGTCCCATTGGATGTTTGAAATTGTTCTCAACCCCCTATCACTAAAACCAAGTTACTCTCACTCAAAACCAATTAATACCTTATTTACCCCTAATCCCACTAAAATCAAAAAATTAATAAATAAATTTTCTTTTTGCTTTCACCAAAAAATAAAAAAAATCTTGTAAATACAATTATACTCTAGGGATTTTTCTAAAATATCTGTATATTCAGGGTGTTTACCTGTTTTTCCGGTAAAGATTTTGTTAGCAAACAGTTGATACTTACTTGATAGGGCAGGTATTAGAGAATATTGAAATCAAAGGGGAGGTTAGAGAAACTATTTTAAACATGGGGTAGAGCTGGGCATTTGGGACCGGGGCTAAAAGCCTAGCTCGAAAACCCGGTCCTAGGACCGGTCCTCGAGAGGACCGGACGTAGGAAGTTGGTCCCAAAACGGGACCAGGCCTAAGGAGGAAGGCCCGGGCCCTCCTCCAAGGCCTGGGCCCAAAAAATTTGAATTTTTTCAATATAGTCCCCTACCAAATTACATAAACCCCCATGTTAATTTGAAAATAAATATAAATTAAGAGGGCTAAAATGAAATTTTATAAAATTATAAAATAAAAATCTTCTAGGTCTAAAAAATTATAAATTTTACCCCTAAAAAAATACTAAAAACCCCCCATAAAATTTCATTTTGCCCCCAAAATATAAAAAAAATTGAGGGGGAAAAAAATTATCCAAGCCCCATGGGACTGGTCCTAGGACCGGTCCTGGGCCCATAGGACTAGTCCCTACCAGGCCTAAGGCCTGGTCTGGGTCCTAATTTTTCTCATGGGCCTAGGACCGGTCCCATTGGAACCAATCCCAAACGGGCCCAGGCCTGGGCCTGCTTGGGGCCGGTCCTGAGGTTGGCTGAGGGATTGTTTACTATCTTAATAGAATAAATAAAATAAAATTACACTTTATTTAAAAAATAAATGTAAGCTATTATTATTATACATAATTTATTCTCATCTATAATTTGGTAATTTATTTTAATATTTTATATTAATTTTATGTAACATCAATTTTTACTAACAAATTTTATATCGTGTTTATGTGTTATTTAATTCTTCCACCATGATTGAGGGTGGACGGTTTAGGGTACTCTGCAATTTTCAGAGAAATCAGAACCGCACAGTGCAAGTTCCCAAAAAAAGACCGAAACCGAAATCACACACTGTATGTGTAAATCACTAAATCTTATGTGGTATTGACATATAAACAAAGTGATGATTTGGTGAATGATATAGCAATGCCATATAAGATAACAAGTCATTTGGGATAAATTTTCTGTGACACCTTCTGGGATATGTAACATTTCTCCAACTAAATTAGCAGCTCCAATTACAAATTCATACACATCTACTACATGCACATGAGTGAAATATGTACAACCACCACCAAGTAACACAACACTTACAAATGCATCAATAAATGAAATTTTGGAACCATTGTGTTTCATTCATTCCAAACAAAGTTCTACACATACAGCAAATAAAACAGTACAATGGTCCTAATCGCTACCAACATGAACGTTTCCTACAAGTCAAACACATGTAAGGAAGTTACAATACACATAGAAAGACAATAAGAAAGACTTAAAACCTAAGCCTTCTTCGGGGACTTGGTAGCCCTGGATGGCGATTTTGTCTCCTTGGTTGTTACTTTCTCAGATTTCTTGGGCAGAAGAACCGGGTTGATGTTCGGCAAAACACCACCATGAGCAATAGTCACACCGGCAAGAAGCTTCCCGAGCTCCTCATCGTTCCTTACGGCCAAAAGAACATGCCTTGGTATGATCCTGTTCTTTTTGTTATCTCTTGCAGCATTACCAGCCAACTCAAGAACCTAAACAAACTCAAAACAATGATTCTTCTCAGATGCACGAGATCCAGTCAAAATTAACTCCTTTATTTCTATAGATCAATATTATTTCCACATTTTAGCTCTAGGTTACTCTAACAAACATGCTTCGTTTTAACTTAGCAAATCCAAAATTAATCAAATCTCATCAACCAAATAAACCCTAGAAATTAACAATAAAGGTGTCCAGAAACACAAATTTGTATATAATTTATAAATGACTTCGAAAGTATAACTGACCATGAATGAATAGAGAAAAAAAAAAAAAATAGATACTGAAATTAGTACCTCAGCAGCGAGGTACTCGAGTACAGCGGCAAGGTAGACCGGAGCGCCGGTTCCCACGCGCTGAGAATAGCGTCCCTTCTTCAGGTAGCGACCGATCCTGCCGACCGGAAACTGTAGACCGGCTTTTACTGACCGGGACACCGGCTTCTTCTTTGGACCACCTCCTTTCCTTCCTCCAGCTCCTTTCTTTACTTTTCCTGCTGAGTCCATCACTTAAAATTTCAAAAAATATAAATATATTTTCTCGAGAAACAAAAGGGGAATTTTATGCAGGATTTAGAGAGCGAGATGTAACTCAGGTGAGGGGTATATGGTAAAATTTATATGAAGCTGGTGAGAAACGGGTGACGGCCTTGGTTTTGGATGGAGTGGTTGTCACCGTTGGATTAGACATTTAATCGAGGGTTTAGAAGTGATGAGATGGCGATCCGTGTGATCTAAAAGGGACAAATGAGGTGAGGGGAGAAAACAGAGTGGGTTTGGTTATAGATAAGAATTAAGAGCGAGTTGGTCCACTGTTCTTTTTTTGCAGGGAATCAACCAGGTCACATGATATGGTAGCATCCTACGTTATAAAAAGAAAAAATTAATTACTAATGTTTATATAAAATTTTACATATTATCAAAAAGAATTGTAATGGAGGAGATGAGCTTAGTATTCTCCACCCAAAATCTACCTTATTCGCTTATTGCTTCAATAGTATTTATAAATAATACTACATATACATCATTTACATACAACATTTATTATACAATATTATGTGACAAGATATGATTGGGTGAAAGTTTAATTTTAATTTTAACTTTAAATTAGTCATTCATATCTTGTTACATAATGTTGTATGAAAATGATGTATGTTTAGTATTACTCATTATTTATATACCTTTTAAATACACTAATAATTTATCGAGTATATATATATATATATATATATATATAAGTTCATCTCCTCCCCTGAAGTTTGCATTTTTCTCGGTGACATCCCATAAGTTTAAAATATCTTCCCTCATCTCCCTTAAGATTTAAAAAAATTCTGTCAAACCTCCCCTCTCCACCGTTAATTAGTACCAGAATTTGTTAGGTTTAAGTGAAGAAAAATTCCTCTAAACCACCTACGTATGTCTATGTTACAAAAAACCCCATTGGATGTTTGAAATTGTTCTCAACCCCCTATCACTTAGGAGTGTTCGGTTCCGGGTATCCTGCACTTTTTGAAGGAACCAGAACCGGAATCGGAACCTACAGTTCCTTAAAATTTAGAACCAGAATCGGAACCGACGGTTCTGGTTCCTAGGTACACAAAACCAAAACCTGTAACAACTGTTCCGGTTCTGGTTCTGGGTACCTTATAAAATTACATGACCCCTCAAAAGTTTTTAAAATGGCAAAAAAACCCTTAAAAACTTACAAATATCCCCCCACTTGGCACTTGTTAACAAAAATAAAATTACAAATTATAAATTCAAAATTACTAACTCCATTATTTTGTAAAGGTAGATTCTCAAAAGGCAAACCAATTTACTTTAAATGTTATGAAATATAAATATAAATGTATTTACATTACTTTTTCTACAAAAGTTTTTATTAACCCCCCTAATCTTTAATTTTATTTTATATTAGTCTCANTTAACAGCTCACTTACCAATTAAATCAGTAAAAAATGGATGCTCTTTTTTTAGTTGTTATTGACTTATTATTGTTTATGTACTTTGTGAGTTTTTGTTATAAACTATAATTTGAATCTTTGTTGTATTATTTGTGTATTTTATTTGTTTGGAGCTCTTATTCGATTTTGAATTTTGATCTTGTTATGACTTATGTATTTAATTTGATACTATAGTTGAATCTTGGCTAAATATTGTGTTTGAGTCTGGAGACTATAATTTGAATATCAATTATATATTGTGTATCTGTATTATTGGTTAATTGAATACTTTGCTTTTAATCAGGTAGTCCATAAAAGTGTTAAAACAAAGATTGATATTGCCGTATTTTTCAAAACGTATTATTGACAATACACCGTATTAAACCCGTATATACCCGTACCATATTTTTTCCATATCTGAATTTTATGGCCGAATTTTTATAAACGCATTTTTCACCATTTGCCGTATTATACCCGTATAATTCCCGTACTATTTTTTTGCCGTACCCGTATTTACTAACTAGGGTTTATATGTAATAAGTATAATTGTATATTTATTTAATTAGGTTATTGTAAAAATTTAATTTTTTCCATTGTAAATTTTTTATATGTACAATTACATAGACTCCCCTTTTTTCACAAATATTTCATTTCAGTATAGGTTTCAAAACAGGGTACCCACTGTAGGTTCTAAGCTAGGTACCCGTTGCATGTTCTTTTTTTCAGGTTCAGGTTCCGGTTCCTCTGGAACCGCACAGTGTCGATTCCAAAAAAATGAAACCGAAACCTACTTGCATAGTGTCGATTCCGAGTAAGTTCTGGTTTTACCCGTTTCGATTCTACCCGCTACTTGTGCTCACCCCTTATGGTTCCATCAATTATATCAATATTTGATAAAATAGATATAGATTCTATTTAATTAATTTGACAATTGATATAAATCAAATTTGTTGTATTTCTGATTTTTTTTTTTATAGAAAAATATTAATTATTTTAGGAAATAATTAAAGTAATTGAATTTATTCAGTGTAATAACGTAAAATTGTAGTCTTATATCATAGTTAATTAGACTCTAATCTTAATTTATACTTTCGAGGTAATGGAGAGCAATTTTAATTTGCCAATTCCAATTTCAGTTCTAATACGAATTCCTCGTATAAGACAAAAATAATCTATTTTCTTTGGAATCAAACTTGGGTTGTCCTATCATGTCATAACCATGACCAAAATTACGTCTTACTTGTAGAATCTACAAATTAGAAATAAAAAAAAAGGGTCGAGGAACCATAATCTAAATTTATTTTAGAAATAAATAAAATAATAATTTTATAAAAGCAATTTAATTAACGATAATCATGTTCTATAAACAAAAAACAAGCACTCAAGCATTTCATATTGTCCAATTTTATAATAACATTATTGTTCTGAATAAAAAATTGTGTAATAATTTTTGTAAATATCTTATCATCTAAGAAAAAATTTACTCATTCTTATAGCAAAATTAATAGTTTATAAACCAATCATTGGATGACCAAGTGATTCAATAGAGACTCTTATTTAAGAAGTTTTAAATTCGAATCCCTCTTCAGTTTCGAATAGAAGTATTCATTGGAGTTCTTACCCCGCTGATAGTTTCAAGGTTCTGGGAGATTAGTTGAGATGTGCGTAAACTGACCCAAACATCTCAATCATAAAAAAATAAAACTTAAATGAGAGTTTATATTTCTCTTGGAGAGTGGATCTAAAGCGCACCTCTTATAGAACATGAGTAAGAGTAGTTCTATTTATCTCCCACAATTAAACTGAAAAAAAAAATTCCTATTTATTAATATTCCTATTTAAAAATAAATTTTATTCTTATAAAACTCACAAATTCCATAAATGTCTGTCATTCATTTTATTTTTTTGAAACCTAAACATATTTTCACTTATGCTATTGCTCCCAATTATTATTTTTAATCTTAAAACAAAATGTTAGTTACTAAAATTAATTGAAAAGAAACAAAAAAAAGTATCTTCATCAATAAATTAAATAAATTATAAAAATCAAGTCAACCTACAATGGAAGCAGTAATTGTAATATACAAATTCAATTAAAAAATTGAGATTAAAATTTTTACAATATTGTTCAAAACCTAATGTATCTCCTCACAAATTTATTTCTCTATTAAAGACTCTCTTTTAGTTTAAATAATTGTTTCAAAATTATCGAAGTATATCTTTAATTAATAATATAAGAAATTAAGGTTTATATAAAAATAAGTGAGGCGCGAAAAACGTTTATGAAAGAAATTAAATATAAACTTAATAATTTAATAAAAGGATAAAGGGAAACTTTGAGTAAACCCCGATGTGCTTCAAGAATTCAAGTAACTTCCTGCTAGTTCAAGAAATAGGATCCTAACCCCTATTCCGTCCAGGTCTGCTAGTAAGCATCCATTGTTCAAATCAAATGACCATTTTAACCCTCTTCAACCCAAACCCTCAAGCCTTAACACTCTAAAAAATGACACTTTGACCCCAAAGATTGATTTCTTATTGCACAACCATTGCAGTCGCCAACAGAGGTGAGTCACACGACCTCAAAGCAGTCGTTAGATGCCTTTTGGGACTCTAGGAAGCAGCTAGAGACAACCATAAGTCTCACGACGGTCGGGAAAGGCTTGGAGGCCTTAGGCCAATGCCTTTAAATATAAAAATAAAATAACAACTTCCAGTTAAGTTTAATAGAAATTTTAACAGGAAAGGGGCTAGGGTCCAATTTTCAAAGCCAGTGGGTGCTTTCATAATTCCTTAAACGTATGGAGTTTTACAAAAAATCCAAAGAGTAAATTTGTAATTATAAAAAATATTAAAAATTAAGACTTTTTAAATTCATAATGAGGACCAATGAAACCACTCTATGAGTGTTAATCAAGATGTAAAGGATGAGGCCCAGGAGGTGTCCTAGTACCCGTAGCCCAGACTCGATAACAAATTTGATCCAAGTCAAGTATAAATTTGTGTTTCTTACTAACTATTACAGATTGACATTACTATCATATCACTTGAGACTCATACACGAGATGTATGGTATATCCAACATTAGACGATTTAATAATCAAGAAACTTTATCAGTAATATCCACCATTTCAAACTGCGGTGCCAACATGGTGGCAATTGAAGGATAGACTACAAAATTTACCAAAATCCTATCAAACATGAAATTTAGCTTCAAATCTTGAGGCCTAATTGTAATCAAGCCACAACCTGAAGATATACCATTATATTACCTATATTCTGCAGGAATTGTAAGTTAACTCTAGCAAAAGACCAGCTGGCCCAATTTTGGTAGAAGCCACATTCAACTTTTTCCATGGACTCAAGCTTTCTCACAGGAATTGCGCTTGCATAATCATTAAACTTATCTTGACTAGATTTAATTTAGAAAGAAATGCACTATAATAAGTCTATAACAGAATTACAAAAAGCAGGAAAGTAGTCATAAAAACAATGAAAGAAAGAAAGAAAACAAGTCAATAAAAGGTGAGAAAAAGTAGTCAAGTAATTGACAAGCAGGTCAATTTCATAGAAATTTTCTTCCTATAACCCAAAGATTCAAGATGTTCTTAAATAAATCTAACAACAAGAATGATTACTTTAGTGAAAATGGAGCAAGCACAAAGCACAATAAGTCATGGCTAGAGCCTTCTGTGTTGGTTCAATTCTCACCTAACACTGGCCGTCAGGCCCGCCACTTGGACCTGAATGGCCTCAAGATGGCCCATAAAAACCGTGTGAATTGACAATCAATAGACTCACTAAAGTCATGTATCATTTATCATACGCAAACAAATTTCAATCTGGAGTCGGTTAGCAAGACCATACACACACGAAAATGTCATGTGCCTGATTATTATTAAATGAATGTGGTGAGTTGTCAAATTCAGAACACGAAATGTGCATCACACTTGTGTTTTCTTCAGTTGTACCCAATATAAATTATAATGTATTAATTGGGTAAAATAGCCATTAATTTCTCAGTAAATTATAAATTAAAAAAGAACCAAACAAGTAAGAAATACCTGCAAAAGCTCAAAGAGAGAGAAAATTATTCATATCTATCCATACGTTATTTTCAACTTTACAGAAAAGAAACCGACAATCGGTGATTGAGACCAAAGGGTTGAATCACAAAAACGAGTTGTTAATATTGTTGGTCCGCACCGCAAGATTTACTCTATTTTGAAAACCTTATTTGAGATCTAAGGACTGGTCGAGGTGAGCGTAAACACACTTAAACATCCCCGTAAAAACAAAAAACAAAAAACAAAAAAAAAAACTTTATAGGAAAGAAAAAAGAAAAAGTAAAAACACGCCATACATCATATTCAATTATAATTGACAATTGAATTAAGCTAAGTTCATCATTAACCATATTAAATAACTAACTTTACTCATCTAATCTCTGATTAAAATCTTTGATTTATAGAAACATGATCAGTTTCAATTCCAGCTAAAGTAAACTTCTGGATAACTAGTATTGAAGTTTGGAAGCAAAGAAATTGATTCTTTCACTTACCATTCTCTTATCTTCCAAAATTTTCTAGAAAGGAGAAAAAATTTGAAACAAAATTTTTCACAGGAAAGTAAATTAATTACTATCAAACCAAACTGCCAGCATCAGGCAAACCTTGTTGAAGATCATCGCGATCTCTGCCGGAAGAGGCGGTGCCACCATTAGGACGCTTAACGGGAACCGAAGCACGACAAATTGGACAATTTGAGTGAGATTTCAGCCACATGTCAATACAAGACGCATGAAACGAGTGTTTGCACGCGCTCAGCTGTTTAATCTCTTCTCCATCGGTAAAAACCGACAAACAAACTGGACATTCAGTGCCAATATCTTTAACGTGAGTCTCTTTTTGGTACTTAACGCCGGTGACAATATCCGTTTCACTTGCTTTAACGACGTTATCATCGGCTGTAGTAGCACTACGAGTACTATTAGATCTGTGGACGTAAGTACCACGCCGTCTAAACGGCCAGGGAGGACACTTTAAAGAAAAAAAGAAAGCGTAGATCAAGGCGGGAATTGTGATGACTGCTAAGAGAGCGAGAATGAATTCCAGTGGGGATAAATCTACAGAGCGAGGTGAGGCGGGGAACGGCGGAGGCTGAGGGAATTCGGTGATAAATGTACTGGAAGGCGCGGAAGCCATGAGATGACCGATGAGAGAAATGAAGAAGGAAATGGTAATAGTTGTGGTATTTGTGGCGGTGGAGTGGGTTTTGGGAAATTTAACAGCTGCAATTATTGAAGGCAAAAACGGAGAAGTAACAGACAATGTTCACGTACCATCATGATGATGGCGTTACTGGATGGATTCCAAAAGATTTCAAAGAAAAATAAATAAAACTAAAATAATCAACGGTCTTTATTACGAGTGTGGCGCCCACCTATTTCTTAAACAAACTGACTTCATTTGGTAGGAAAAGTTTTATTCAGATTTGTAAATACATATTTGTTTAACAAATTATATTATCTACATTATTTAAGCATCAATTATTACTCTGGTTTAAATTTAAAAAATTATATTGAAATATATAAATAATTCAAATTAAAGTAAATTTATCATAAAAAATAAATTAAATAAGTCAAAAAGAGGGGGTTAAATACTACAGTAATGGACGGTTAATTGAACTCCAAGTCCACTGAAACTGGACCCAGTTGTTTTGAGCTATTGTGGCCCAAAAGGTCCACAAATCAAATAACTTGAGACTTGAGAGAGGCACCAAGAACTTTCCTTCTTTTATCAAATCCTAAAGATAATGATGAATAACTAGACTTTCTAGAGCTTTTAGTAGGTATGACTTAGCTTTTATGTGGTATATTTTTTTCAAAATTTAACAAATATTATAATTATTTTTAAAAATTTTATAAGAAATTTCAAGGAAGAATTCTGTTGAATTTTAATAGAATAAGATGCAATTTTAACGAATCTACGTCATTGAGTTTTTATTTGTATTTTATGTCAAAGATAAGGAACTATTTTTGAAATTTGTTCTTCTAATTATAATTATAATAATGATTCCGTGGTCGGTAAAGTTGTCAGGTCAACAAAATCAGGATTTCTTAAATAAAAATAAATTAACTTTGTATAAAAAAACAAAAGTATAATTTTAAATTTTTTGAGAAATACTTGTATAGCAAAATCTGATTGTCTGATTTTAAATTAAAATTAAATTTTTATCCAATCATCTTTTACCACATAATATTGTATAAAAAATGTTATATGAGAATATCATATATATATAGTATTATTCTATTTTTTTTTGTAATATACATCCATTTTGAATAAAATAAAATATATATTGTATTTACTTTGGATACATGATGCGAGGAGATTGACGACTGTAGCACCCCAGACTATCTCCTCTGAATAGAATGTGTGAAGTGAAATTTATTATTTATAATGCTCCATCCTTTACAATAGATCTACCACGGTTTTATGGTGTGTGATTAAAGAGGAGTTTGTAAGAAATTTTTAGATGGTTGAGTGGTTTAATAAAGACTTTTATGATTGTATTACTTAAGAGGTTTTGAGTTTAAGTCTATCCTCAATTGCTAATAAGGATAGCTATTAGAGCTTTTACCTGATCGATAGTTTTAGGGTCTCAAACATTAGTTTAGAAGCGCGTAAACTAGCTTAAACAGCCCAGGTCATAAATAAAAAAAAAAAAAAAAAAAATTAGAGAACAAAATATGGTTGTGGTAATTTAGCCAAACCGTAGCTGATAGTCCTCTTAATTTTAATTTACATATACAAAAACAATCACCTACTTCTAGACACGATATTTAGTTTCACATTTCATCTTACGCGTTCTTGCTGGAGTCACTTCTAAGCTAATATAAATTTATTTTTTTTAATATTCAAAAAAGTGGCAAACATCAAAGTGAAGCCATCTTCCATCATTGAAAAAACAAATCACACTCCAAAATCTGGTACCCTGAAGACTTGATCTGGCGGCCGGACAGAGTCGGAGTCTGGCACGGACACCACCACATGCTGCGGCCGCGGCACCGTGTCGGCTCGACAAAGCGGGCAGTTGGAGTGTGAGCTAAGCCACATATCAATGCAGACCACATGAAACAAATGCAAACACTCAGGCAATACTCTGATTTGCTCACCATCCTTGAACTCACATAAACACACACAACATGTTTCTTCATTGCACTCTTTGCTATATTTAAGCACAGGCATTAGTCGAATTGTTGATGAGCTGCTCGTGCTAGCAGGCCTTTCTTGCTGACGGTTTTGCTCAACTTGATGCGTATTTTGTTGATTCTGTGCTCGTCGGTAGTAGCAGCAACCAAAACTTATGCATTGGTAAGTTGCAACCATCATCGCTCCCGCAATTATACCCATCAAGCCGATTAGAATCGGGCTAAATTCGAATTTTCTGTGATGGTCTCCATCCATTGTAAGTTCATCAGCTGAGAAAGACGATGGTGAGGAGGACAAATTAAATGACGTTGATTGCTACTTATGCAGTTATGCTAGGTGACTTTGTGGCTCTTCCTGTGTCTTTTTGTACTTTAATTTATATGTATGTATCCATGTTAACAAAAGAATGGCTTCATTATTTCGGATATCTAGACGTGGATGACACGGACATGCTGGAGCTCTGATGAAAAAAGAGACCATTCTACGGTTGAAATTTCTGGTGCAAAATCCGTACATATTCTATTTTTATTTGTTTAATTAACAATTTGCCTTTGATGATCAAACTTACCCCACATAGGCTCGCACGTACACTTAAAATACTTCTATAGGAAGATTCAAAGTTGGAATATTGTTAGGGGAGGTTATACACAAAACAAGAGTCAAAAGGAGCATAGAAAGATATTTAAATACCCGGATGATTTTTCCTTTGTTTTTACAGGAAATTTTAAGAAAATTCATAGCGCTTAGACGTTAAAAAAATCAGATATCATAGTTAATTGTCATTGCTGGATAGCGAAAATATAAGGAATTGGGGTGTGTTACAGTGAGTGATTACAATTTGGTTGGCTAGTTGGGTTTTGTGCCAGCAACATTATTTTTGCACATGGGCATACATATATATAGGCCAAGACACATATCACTTATTGGAGATTCCTTTTCAATGTACAGGTACATCACATGAATTATCAAATTAAACACTTCTACTTTCTCATTTTTTATTCTTATATCTGGTAATTTTATAAAGAATAAATGAATTATAACCTAAATGGGACGAACCTGGGACAGCATGTCTCTATGCAAGAGAGGTACAAAGCCAAACAAAAGAGTAAAAAGAGCCATAAAAGGCACCCTGGAAGAAGATTATTTCGATAGAATGTATCTGTAAATTAGAGAAGAGAAATTATAAACCTCTCTCCAGAATTTTCTAAATTTCTCTTGATCCGAACACTAAATCCATAAATCTAAGCTAAAAAATCAATTTAACTCCATATTACTGAAAATGAATAAGAACCAACCTGTATAATTTATTTCGGAAATCTTTTTGGAAAAGTTAGAAAAATAATTTGATTTGTTTGGTACTAGGATTGTATCTATCATTAGAAAAATAATCTGATTGTTTGTTATTAGGATTGTATCTATTATTAGAAAAACATTTCTTCAAACAAATGTTTCAAAATGTTTTTTCAGTTTTAAACATTTTTTCATCTATTTCACTCAGAGGTCATAATCTGTAACGAACTTATTTCAACCACTGAAATCATCAATGAAAGTATCTTTAACAATAGTGAAACTATTTTTAAACAAGCTTATCTAGAATGGGAAATAGTTAGGGATGACAAAAAAACTCAACAAAGTTAGCTATCCGAAAAAACTTGTTCCCGCAAAATAGAGAACATTTAAAAAAGTTCAGATTAAGGATAAGGATGGGTAAAATCTATACTCCTAGAATCGGTGACAGGGGCGGAAATGGGGTGGGGAAAGGTGAAAAAACAATGTTATGCTTACAACTGAATTGAACTAATGTGAATTCTTGCAACCTAATTCATATGTCTCCTTATTTCAACCAATTTTAACTCAACCTAAGCTAGACTTCACTTGCAATACCTTAACACAATTCGGCTAACACTCTACAAGCACAAACAACCATTATAACACCTTAGAACAACACCTTATATCAAGCCTCAATCAACACAAACTCATTCCATTTTGAAATGCACAACATAAACTTGCAACACAACAAAATAAACCAACCCGAAAAGTGAGATGAATGGTAACCAAGTGAGATTAACTTACAAGATAGATGACCAATGGATCAATCAAGCCTAAAGGAACTCCACCAGCTTGAAGGATCAATCCACCACCAAGTTTGGCCGAACTTGGGTAAAGGAACTCAAGAGAAAACAATTATCCAAGGCAAAATACTATTCATGCAATATTCAATGTCTAACTTCATATTATGATAAAGTAGCCTTTAAATAGGCTTTACAAAACAAGGGAATTACCCTAGCAAATATTACATGAATATTACAACAAAATATTATACAAAATATTAAGGGATAATTCCCCACCATACAATATCAAAAGTGCAAGCCATACCCATTTAATGCTATGGACAACCTTTCCCTAAATTAAAGATCTATGTCCATAATCACATTTTTCTTGATTTTCCTTCAACATTTGAACCAAATAGCATCCACAACTTGGGCTTGGGCCAATGAAGCTTCTTCCCACTTGATCTCCATGGGTTGGGCTACAAAAAAGGGCTTGTGCCATGTCTTGGACCCTTAACACCTCTTGGACAAGTTTGTGAGCTTCCTTGAGTGCTTGGGCCGAATGTTGTCCATCTTGGGGTCCTTGAATCTTCAATGAACTCTCTTGCATTCTTAAAGAACATGATGGGCTTGGATTCTCATCATCCTTCCCAGGTTGAGAAGGATTTGTCCTTAAATCCAAAAGTTCCCTATCTTCCAAGTATGGAGACAAATCCCCAATGTTAAAAGTAGCCGAGACATTATCAAATTCAGAGGGTAAATCGACTTTATATGCATTATCCCCAACTCTTCTAAGGACTTCAAAGGGACCATCAGCTCTAGGTGTTAATTTTCTTTTCCTCTTGGAAGGAAACCTCTCTTTTCTCAAATAAACCCATACAAGGTCACCTGGTTGGAAAATGGTGGGTTTTCTATGTTTGTTGGCTCTCTTCCTATAGGCCTCATTGGACTTGGCTATTTGGGCCCTAATTGATTCATGTAGTTTTTTCATGGACTTGGCCTTCTCCTTAGCATCAATATTCAATTGGATATCAAGGGGTAGGGCTCTAAGTTCTATGGGAGTGATGGGATT